TGATTTTGCGAGACAGTGTTTCTCTGTGTAGCTTTGGAGCCTATCCTGGCACTCGCTCTGTACACCAGGTTGGCCTCGAACTCACAGAGATCACTTTGGGTATGTTTTGAGAGATTGCTAGAAGAAATCTCCATGTTCATTAATGAAAAAATGATATAAAGAAACTACATGTCTCTAAATGGCATGTGATAAGTGTTGTTTAGTTTTTCATCCTAGTCCTCATCTGTTTTCTGTCATTATTTTCGTTTCATAAATTACAAGCTTCCATATAGTCAGAGAAAGCCAGCTCATACAGGATTTGGGCTCTCGGTATGAGCTAGGGAGGTGCTCCCCAGAAGTCCCTGCTGAAGGAGAATGCCTGGGCATTCCATATAAGAAGAGCATTCCATATATGATGACCCAGAGGGGAAAGAACTATAAAGGGCATAGGAGTTATGGTGAAGGTACAGAGAAATCTAGCATCATCTCCATCATTTCACCTATAACACTCAGGACTTTACACTCATTGCTGTCTCCACAGGGTTTTGCACTAGAACTGGATGGTTTTATACTTCCAGTAGACACAGACCTACAAAGCTGTGGACCTGAAAATTCCAACTTATTCCAAAGAGAACATTGATCTCAATTTACTTGATTTTATCAAATTATATTTTAAATGAAATAGAGGTAATATTTTAAGATAACTTACTAACTCCTTTACTAACGTTAGGAGTTGAGATCATGTTTTTAGCTTCTAGAGGATGAGTAAGGCTTCTCTTACTTCTGCAACCAGCCCATCACTTGCTCCTTTCTAGAAAGATGATGTGGAAGCTGTGTGATTGCACCATTCCCTCAGAGTGTAACTTTCAAAGGCATGAGTAACCATTTATTTCTCTTTCAAGTTTTGCGCCCATCAAGACCTGATGAATGTCACAGCACAGTCCCATGGTAGTTCCAACTTCTCTTTCCTTTCCTCTCCCATTTGCCTTCCATCTTTCTTTCCTGTTTGTTGCCCATCTTTTCATGAAGCTGCTTCTGCTAGGAGGTGCTTGCATTGGTGTCATATACAACTCTTTAGCTGCTCATCACTCATGTTCTGTTTTTGGGTCCCCAGCAAGCATGTCTGCTTTTCCTCAGCAGGGTAGAACAAGTTCATTGGGTTTGGCCCTGAAGAACCACAGAACCAACTGTGATTTATTCTTTCCAACTTCTCCTTTGGTGATGCCACCACACTAAAGACATGAACTGGCCATGTAATAAATATTCCCACTTTAGAGACTGGAGAACACTGGCTGTCAACCTTTGTATATCTTCCTGACATGTGATTGTGAGGTGATTGTCTGGAGCCTAAACAAAGGGTTGGGTGCAGAACGGACTGAATGACAACGAAGGTGAAAGGCTACCATAGCCCGGTCCTAGTAAGAAAGGCTAGTGAGGATCAGATCGATGTGGTGTTTTCATAGGATCCACTTTTGTGAAATCAATTATTCAGCTGTCATGAACCTGTCCAGGATGGCTACAATGATGCACAACTGAGTTCATCTCATGAGAAGTCAGAATTAGAGCAGGCCAGTTGCTAAGACCATTTACTGATACATTTTTAATGCCTTCTGGCAATTGTTCTCCAAGGTAAAATCAGCTCTCCTGGTGGCCTGATAAGCTTTAGCAGACAATAAGTGAGAATTATGAACATCCTACCTCCCCTCTCTCTGCCAGGCTGCTAAGAACCCCACAGAGAAGTGTGCATTTAGTGCTATAGCATGCCATCATGTCTAGTTTTTGCCTGCCTCCTTCCTTCTTCTCTTGCAGTGAGCTCTTGTTTTTTTGATGCAAGCAAGCTCAGATTTAGTTATTGAATTTGCATGCTATCCAATCAATCAGTCGCTTTTAATTTCTCTGAAAAGGTCCCCCAGCTTACTCTAAGGAATGAGGGGGAAATGTTACATCCACCAACTCTTTCTGTCCTTCACTTGGGCATTCATACAAGATAAAATATGCCTCTGCTTATGAGATTATTTCTCAATTCTTCATATTTGGGATACCGTACTCTGTCTTGCTTATTAGATTGTCAAATTCTTTATTGTGCAGACCAGATTTAAATTTAATTATGTATGATGTTTATTAAAGTGTGGCACTTGATAAATATGGACAAATGTGAGCTAGCTACACCGATGGGGAATCTTTCTTGTGGAAATGGGTTCTTGTGCAGAATATCTCTACATCTATCATTAAGATCTCTTAAATGTTCTAGATCAATCCTCTAAACATCTTGTGCTGAGTATTATTAGCTAAGTTTCATTTTAATGACTTTGAAAAGTTTCTGTATCTCAGTGTATTAAACATTCATCTGAAATCTAACATAATGGTAGTATTTCTAAGACATTTTGCATCATTGTTCTGGTCTAGAGGCCCTTTCTCATAGTATTTCCACAAAGGAAAAAACTGAAACCATCACTTCGTGTTTCTTAAATTTTGTATAATTTTGGTGGAGGACAAACAAGCAGGATGGTTCAGTGAGTACAGGCTCCTGCTGCCAAACCTGCTAACCTGAGCTTGATTCCTGGGACTCATGTGGCATCTGCCATTTCAAACAAGAGCTGAGTGAAGCCGGAAATATTAGATATTCCCTCTGGTTAGTAAACTAAATGAACATCTTCTCATCTCTGGCAGCCTATAGACACCAGCCTCATGGTTCTGCCCTCACCACACCCCCATCAATGACTATGTCTTTCTCTTTAGATCACTGGCTCCTTGCAAAGTACCTGGCATATCAGAGACACACAGATAACAAATCAAAGAATGCTATCATTAATTTGTTTCTTCTGCAAATACCTGTTGAGCTCCCTGGAAGGGACTCTAGCCAGCCTGAACACGGCAAACATTGCTCTGGCAGGCCCTGCCCTCCTCCTCCATTCCCTCTATCTTGCTGAAAACCATTAAATTGCATTCCTAAAGCTAGCATCCAAGGTCTATTCCATTATTTGTTTACTTCGTCCTCCTGAGTCTGACCACCAAGGTCCAGTATTGAGGTCCAGCAATCAAAAGCCCCCTTTTGACTACCCTAATTAACATTCCCAACCAACATTAAACATGTCATCCAAACACAGGGTTTCTCTCTTTTCCCTGTATAAACCACCATTTCCCTAGGTGCCACATTTGTCTCTTCTCTATCCAGAGAAAGTCCTTTGTCCCTCTGGGGCAAATATCCCTGCCCCTCTCCCTTGTTCCCTTCCTCTTCTCCCTCATCCTCTGTCTCCTGTCTTTGTCTCTTATTCCCTCTGAGGCAAATAAATCTCCATTGTGCTGAGAACTTGGTCTTGAGGTGTCTTGTGCCAACAACTTTGAGGTCCTTTCAGTAAGGAAAGGACCCACACACAGCAGGATGCTCCCTCCTGGACCCTGGATCAGGCACAAACCATACCCAAATGCCTATTTTTCATAGACAGATCCATATTAATCAGGGAAGAAAAGTTAACCTGGCTGCTTTCTGACTCAGGCAGAAAACAGCAGCAAGTGACCTTGCAGGTGTGATCTTTAAGAGGAGAGGAAGGGGAGGTCTGTGTTAGAATGGGCTAGGATGTGGTGGTATGTTTTGATTGGGCATATTCATTAGGTGAACCAATGGGGGCTTTTGATTGTTGGATTTTAATACTTGAGAGCTGGACCTTGGTGATCAGCCTTAGGAATGAGTCTGGCATAAGAAAGTTTCCAAATAATGGAATAGACCATGATGTTTAGCTTTAGGGATATAATCTGTGGTTTACAAGGGAGAGGAAAGGAGGAACGACAAGGCCTGCCAGCCCCATGTTTGCCATACCAGTCCTGCTAGAGCCCTTCACTCCTGAGTCCAGGACTATTCTAGGTACCACATATGCAACACTGAATAACACAGCCAATTAAACAGTAAAATGTTCACCTCCACGGCTATTTGTCCACAGTAAAGCACTATCTGAATAGCATCTTTTTTTAGTTCTCAGTCAATTCCGGAGGATTAAGAAACAGATGTTTATGAAATGACTCAAGATTATTATAATGCCTATTTTACAATCCTGAGAGGAAAGGCAGCATTTACTTGATTGCTTTGCTCTTTCGGTGTCTTTTTAATAAGTTTGCCTAAGAAGACAATTTAAAATGTCTTTCTGATGCCAGCAAATGGTGTCAAGCTGGCAAAAAATGCATTGTACCAGCAATACACCGGTGAGGGTCCATGTGATACTTCATGCCAGCAGGGTTAGGCTCAGTAAGCATCATTAAGCCTACCTGACCTCTTGCTCTTCACTGGACAGACCCCATCCAAATGTATGGTGGATGTCGAAGCACGTGTTACTATCTTCCAACAACCTAGGATGTAGTTGGGATAGGAGCCACGCATCAGTTTACAGCACCAGGGAGTCGGTGTTCTTCAGCTGTGTCCTGAGGTAGTGGTGAAAAAAGGCCATACTTACCCAACTTTCTGAAACCGCTTCTCCAAGAAATCCCACACGTACCTGATTTTCTGCACTTGGATGCATTGTATCTGCAAACACAAATGTGAAGGAACAGGCATCATTGACAGAGGGAAGCAGGTCAGAGGGGAATTGTTCAATGTTGGTTCCCACGTGGGTCTCTCACCTAGCTCTCATTCTAGCCTGAGAATGTCATAGTCAGAGCTTTAACCAACACACACTCTATTTTGTCTCCACAAATATGCCATAACCTCCCATACATCAAACCTCTTACTTTTAATTCTGGCTTCATTACAGCTTGGTTTATGACTGAGTGGCGGTCCGCCACCAGAGGTTCCTCGGGGTTCTTGCTTACAGGGAACTTCAGTGTGGATAAGTGGAGGCAGAAGACTTTTTTCCTTATGTATCTTCGAAATTCATCCTTGAATAGTCAACAAACAAGAGAACAATCTCAGACCTCATGCAGAAATCAAATTCTTAGGCTCACTCTAGACTTGGCAGAGGCAGAAACTCAGGTGGTAAAGCCGGCCCTCTGTGTTTCAATGAGCCTTCCAGAGGCTTCTGATCAGCACAGAAGTTTGAGAAATACTGGACATGAGGGAAAAAACTGTAAGAAAGCATTATGTCTAGAAATTTTCTGAGATGACTGTATTTCTCTTTATTATTTTATGTATTTAATTTTTAAGACGGAATCGCTGTAAATTCTAGACTGGCCTCAAACTCTTGGTTATCCCACCTCAGCTTCCAAAGTGCTGGGACCACAGGTGTGCACCACCATACCTGAATCTAGCTACCTTTAAATGATATCTACAAGCTTAAATTATCTAGTATGCTCCAAAGCATGTAGTTTTGAAAATTGCACATTCCCACGTGTCATCTCTGAGAGTTGTAACAATGACAGCCACTGCCCATGCAATGGCAAGGAGCAACATCCGTTTATCAGTCTAAAATCCCAGAGATGGCCCCAGGCTGAAGTGAAGGAAGTGTCAGCATTCATGGGCTTGACAAGAGATAACATGAAACTTGCAGAGGTAGTCTTTCCTCCTCTTGTTCTGGCCTAGGTAAACTGAACAAATGAGGTCTTGCTTCTGGGATATTGACTAAGTATCACTAGATCACAGATGCAATATTGATGATGTGACCATAGTACTTTTTCTCTTTAAATGTTATATTTAAATTTTTAATTGGGATAAAATACTTGCCTGTATTTATGGGTCTTGAGTAGCTATTTCCTCTGAACTGAAACATTCTCTCCTTTAAGACTCAGGAAATAAACAAAACTCACAAGTCTGAAGAAGTTCCTGAAACTTACAAGATTCCCGAGGCCCCTCCCATTGGCTGCAGAAGCACTAACAATTGCCTGGAAGAGAAGACTCCCTACCTACCTAGCTGTTTGAAGATAAAGCAAGGAGCTCTAGGAATGGAGTGGGCTTTTCAGTGTTGCAGATACTTGTGAGTCACCCACAATCCTATTTAAGTTGTGTGTGTGTGTGTGTGTGTGTGTGTGTGTGTGTGTGTGTAGTATACAATATAATTACAATAAATGTACTGGTTCACTAAGCAAAAGTTGGGTGAAATCATTTCTTTGATCTGGTGTTAATGAATACACAATTATTCATGTCTCCCCAGGAACACTCTCATAGCAATGGGGCATGTAATGAATTTTAAGTAGTATACATATACTGTATGCAATGATCAGACCAGGGTAATTGGCCTCTTAACCATTTCAGAAATTTGCCATTTCTTTCTGCTGGAAACATACAAAACTCTCTCTACTAGCTATTTTTAAAATTTGCTGTTAGCCACATTATCCTATGATGCTATAGGATATTAGCAAGTATTCCCCTATTTAACTGTAGCCATGTACCTACTAAGCATTTCCCTCTATTGCTCCTTCCCCTTCTCAGGCACTCATAATCACTATTCTATAGTGCCAACTTTATAGCTTCCACATGTAAGTGAGAATACACAGTATCTGTTCCTCTGTGATGATTATAGTATTTGAAAAGGATAACAGAAAAGTACGCACTGTTGTCCTCAGCAAAACTGTGTCTGCTTCTTGCAAAGGACATGGGATGCAACTTGTCCACACCCACCACTCAGGCCTCCAGTAGAACATCAGTTGTATGGCCCCAAGAGTCAGGACGGCTGTGACAAGGCACAGGGCTCTCCGTAGATTCTGGGTATGGTATCCAAACACCTCCTGAATAATAAATAGAGCATCCCATGTTTCAGTAGTCACATAAACATCATTTTGATTCAAGGGATACATGCTTGAGATGTAGGGTTATTGGTTGAGAGAGAAATCTGGCATCAGTTTGTAGAATCAGGTTGACTGCAGCTGACAGCTGATATAATAAAATGAAAGAGAAGCACAAATCCTCCTACTGCCCTGCCAAGTGAAATTAAACATTAGATGGAAGGCAAAAGGATGCTCTCCCTGCTTCCATGCATTGGTAAGAGGCACCTCAAATGTTTATAACATGTGTCATGTTTTGAAGAAGATTTAGCCTTTTTAGGTATTAAAGAAATTGTTAATATTAAAGAAAGTGGTTGAGACAGACATGACCTTCACACATCCACCTTTATCTGCATTCACATTTGGTTGTAATAATAACTGAATATGATTGAAAGTATGAATAAATGTATTGTAAAGCAAAATGTAAATGAATGGACTACTTGCAGACATAAAAGGCTCTTGAAGGATCAATTGCACTTACTTATTCTTTAAATTATTTTTAAATTATTATTTTTAGTATTTAAAACAATTTTAGCAGGGTGCTGTGGTGCACGCCTGTAGTCCCAGCTACTCGGGAGGCTGAGACAGGAGGATCGCTTGAGTCCAGGAGCTGTAGTGAGTCTGAGCTGTAGTGAGCTATGCCAATCGGGTGTCCTCACTAAGTTCGGCATCAATATGGTGACCTCCCGGGAGTGGGGAGCCACCAGGTTGCCTAAGGAGGGGTGAACTGGCCCAGGTCAGAAACAATTTTAAACTTAAATATATTTTATCATATTCTTTCCCTTCCCCAAGTCCTCCCAGATCCACTCCCCCTCCTTAACCACCCAACTTTAATTTCTTTCCCCCACAAAAAAATCCAATACAACAAGAAATCCAAGGAAACAAAATAAAATCACCAGCCCCCCAACTGTAACCAAATAAAAGCATGCATGAGGATAACCTAAAAGCCCTTCCCCTAAAATGAGATTGATGACTTCTCTTTATGCCATCCTAGAGCCCTCATCCAGTGGCTGATGGAAGCAGAGACAGACATCCATAGATATACACTGAGCTGAAATCGGGAATTTAGTTGAAGAGAGGGAGGAATGAAGAGCAAAGGGGTCTGTACCAAGTTGGAGAAACCCACAGGAACAGTTGGCCTGAACAAGGGGGAGCACATTGACCCCAGATGCTGTCGGGGAGGCCAGTACAAGACTGATCCAGACCCCTGAACATGGATGTCAATAAAGAGGCCTCTGCACTCGAGGGAGCCTCTGGTGGTGGATTAGTATTTTTCCCTGGTGCAAGAAGGGACTTTGAGAGTCCACCCCACGTAAAGGGTTACACTCTGGCCCTGGACACATAGGGAAGGGCCCAGGACCAGCACAGGAAGATTTGGCAGACATTGCAGAGCCCCCGTTGAGGGCCCTACCCTGCCTGGGGAGTGGTGGGTGAATGGGGTGGGAGGTAGGCTGGGGGGAGGGGAGGTGGGATGGGGGTGAGGGGCGGGAGAAGGAGAAGGGACTTACATGTGAAACAAGCTTGTTCCCTAACTAGAACTAATAAATAAATTTTTCTAAAAAAGCATGCATGAAAAGATATACTTGGATTGTGTTATCTGTTGGTGAACTAATCCTGAAGATGCGGCCTGTCCTGGAATGGTTGATGTCATTCTATTGGAGAAATGACCCATTGTAATTCTATTGGAGAAAACTGATTGCCCCACTCCCAGTAGGCAAAAGTGGCATTTCAGTTGTTAACTTTTACCCTAGTGACTAAGTTTTCATTCACTCACTCATTTAATTTTTAATATAAGAAAATAAAATAAAATAAGTAAAACAAAAACTGGCATTGAAGTTGTAAAAGACAAACCAACAGAGGAAAAAGAGCCCAAGAGAAGGCACAAGAATGAGAGACCCACTCACTCACACACACAGGCATCCCATAAAAACACTAAACTGGGAGAGACAATATATACTCAGAGAACACCCATGCAGGCCCTATACTTGCTGCTTCAGTATCTGTGAGTTCATATGAGCTTTGCTCATGTTGATTAAGGAGGTCTTGTTTTCATGGTATTTTCTACCCCTTCTGGCTCTTACACTCTTTCAGCCTCCTATTCCACAGGGTTCCTTGAGCTCTGAGGGAAGAGATTTGATGCAGACATCCCATTTAGGGTTGAGTGTTCCAAGGTCTCTCACTTTCTGCAGAATATCTGGCTGTGGGTCTCTGTATTTGTTCTCATATGCTGCAGGAGGAAGCCTCTCTGATGATGGCTGAACAAGGCATTGATTTATGAGTATAGCAGAATATTCATTAGGAGTCATTTTATCACTACATTTTTTCTCTTTTGGACAAGTATTGTTTAATTTTATCCTAGATCCCTGGATTATTTAGTCTTAGCTTCTCAGTTGCCCAAGCAGTTCAGGAACGGGTCCCATCTTGTGGAGTGGGTCTTAAGTCAAATCAGTTATTGGTTGATTACTCATGAAACTGAGAAGTTTCTGAATAGCAAAGGACACCATCATTTGGGCAAAGTGGTAGCCTACAGAAAGAGGAAAGATTTTCACCAACTACCATCTGGCAGAGGGCTAATATTCAAAATACATAAAGAACTCAAGAAACTAGATATCAAGACAACAAATAATCCAATTAAAAATGGGGTACATTTCTAAACAGAATTCTCAATAGAGGAAACTCAAACAGCTGAGAAACACTTAAAGAAATGTTCAACATCCTTAGCCATCAGGGAAATGCAAATAAAAACTACTTTGAGATTTCATCTGATACCTGTCAGAATGGCTAAGATCAAAAACACAAGTGACAACTCATGCTGGCAAGGATGTGGAGCAAGGGGAACACTTCTCCATTACTGATGGGAGTGCAAACTTGTTTAGCCACTATGGGAATCAGCCTGGTGGTTCCTCAGGAATATGGTAAATTTTGTCTACCTCAAGATCTAGCTATACCACTTTCAGGCATTTACCCAAAGGATGTTTCATCTTATGACAGAGACACTTGCTAAACCATGGTCATTACTGCTCTGCTCATAATAGCCAGAAATTAGAAATAATAGATGTCCCTCAACAAATGAATGGATAAAGAAAATATGGTGCATTTACACAATGGGATATCACTCATCCATTTAGAAAGAAATGACCTTATGGAATTTTCAGGCAAATGTATGAAACTAGAAAAAAATCATCCTGATGAGGTTTCCCAGACTTAGACAAATATGGTATGTATTTGCTTACATGTGGATATTAGCTGTGAAGTCAATGATAATCAACTACAATCCATTAGACCCACAGAGGGTAGATTATACAGTAAGGGACTAGAGTAGTGATTCTTAACTTGTGGGTCACAAACCCTTTGGGGGTTGAATGACCCTTTTACAGGGGTCTCATATGAGGTGTCATGCATGTCAGATATTTACATTACAATTCACAACAGTAGCAAAATTACAGTTATGAAGTAACAACAAAATAATTTTATTGTTGGGGATCACTGCAACATGAAAAAGTATATTAAAGGGTCACAGAATTAGGAAGATTGAGAAATACTGAACTAGAGGAAATGGATAGATCTCATTAGGAAAGGCAAATAGAATAAATAAATTTGATGGAGGGCTGGAAAGGAAGGATCAGATGAGGAGTGGGATGGAGAGGAGTTATGGGAGGTAACACAGGGAAAGACAGTTAAAATTAAGGGTCATTTGAGGGGTAGTATGAGGACTTAATAGAATAGAAACTTCCTGAAACACACACACACACACACACACACACACACACACACACGAGGGTAACCTAAATGAAATAGCCAAATAATGGGGAGAGAGAGACCAAACACCAAATGAAGCTTCTAGTAGTGGGATTGGGTTACATCTAATTGAGTTGTTGGCCAAAGGGTCGCCACATGAATCTGTAAACAACCAGGGTGTGGCCAAAATTATAGGCTGCTCTTCACAACCTGACAGCAAGGCCACATTGCTGACAACAACAACTACATAACTCATTGAAAAGGGAGATGTTGCCAGGTGGTAATGGTGCATGCCTTTAATCCCAGCACCTGGGAGTCAAAGGCAGACAGATCTCTGAGTTTGAGGCCAGCCTGGTCTACTGATCTACAGAGTGAATCAGAGTGAATGCCGAAACAGTCAGGGATATATCGAGAAATACTGTCTCAAAAAAAAGAAAGAAAGAAAGAAAGGAAGGAAGGAAGGAAGGAAGGAAGGAAGAAAGAAAGAAAGAAAGAAAGAAAGAAAGAAAGAAAGAAAACGGAGACATCAAGCCAGTACTTACATAGAACCTTCACCCCTTCATTCCAGTGTCTTGGATACAGGAAGATGCACTATATACTCTCAAAACAGAAATGTCATAAACACCTAGCCAGCCATAAAACCTTTATCTACAATGTTGTACTGTCTGCAAGATATGGTAGGGCACTTACTTATTCTTAGAATAACACGATGAGATATTTGTACCTTTAATAATAAATAGGTTAGCTAATATTTGTCATAAATTAAATGAATATAAGATTTGTTTTAAGGGGAAATAGCTTTGGCTATTTAAAACCAAGTTTTAGTTTCTACCCTCTTCAATGAGGGTTCATAACATTGCTGTATATCTCCCCAAAACACTCTTTTTTAAATAAATTTTTATTTAAATTAAAAACAATCTTGCTTTACATACCAGTCCCAGTTCCCTCTCTCCAATCCTTCCATGACCCCAACAACCCCCCAGACCACCCCATCCACTCCCCAGGGAGGGTGAGGCCTCCTATGGGGGATTATCAAAGTCTGTCACATCATTTGGGACAGGGCCTGGGCCCTCCCCTTGTATCCAGGCTGAGAGAGTATCCCTCCACAGGGAATGGGCTTCCAAAGCCCATTCATGCACTAGGGATAAATACTGCTTCCACTGCAAGAGGCCCCATAGACTACCCAGGCCTCCCAACTGACATCCACATTCATGGGGCCTGGTTCAGTCCTATACTGGTTCCCCAACTGTAAGACTGGGGTCCATGTGCTCCCACTTGCTCAGGTCAGCAGAAAAAAAACCAAACTCTTGGAGTACTTTGAAATGCCTGAGAGACACTATTTATTACAGTTAGGATATGAAGCGTCACCCTACAGGGAATGCTCATGTGTTGATGACTTTGCTTTTGGGAGAACTATTGAAAGATGATTGAGTCATGAATGCATTCACTTCATTAATTGATTAATTCATTGGTGAGTTCTTAGCTGAAGGGCTACTGGGGAGTATAGCCTAGTTAGAGGAAGTGGGTCAATAGAGGTTGCACTATTGATTGAATGGGAGGGAGAGAGACAGACAGAGAGAGAGAGAGAGAGAGAGAGAGAGAGAGAGAGAGAGAGAGAGAGAAAGAGAGAGAGAGAGAGAGAGAATGTCCTGGCTGCCATGAGATGAGCAGTTTAGCACTGACTTTCCACCATGTTCCTGCACTGTCAAAGTCCAGACTTGGAAGCAATGGAACCAGCCAACCATGGACCAAACATCTGAAACTATGAGACAAAACCAGTTTTTCTTCCTGCAGCTTGTTTACTTCAAGTATTTTGTCAGAGAAATAGAAACACACTAACACAGAGAGAAATGTATGGTGTATTGTATACAGTGGTTTTAAGGTGACCTGGAAATGTTTGTGTCTTTTTTTTCCCCTAGCAACTCTAAATTCCCATGTCCAAATCACAGAGCTTTAATGTCAACACAACAGATTTTCTTTACTATGTTTATGCAGTGTTTTTAATGACAGAACTTCTTGGATTTGTGTCAGTTTAGATCATGCATCACATAAGAATTCTCTTTGCCTAATTCTTTGGAAAAGTATTCATCTTCAGTGTGAGCTTTTTTATTAATTTTTCCTAGGGACGCAGTGGTGGATAAAGAGTATAATAAGAGTTGTTGAAAGCAATCCTTAGATGGAGTAGAAAGGTCACAAATTTAAGAAACAAGATGTAAGTTTGAGTCACTGCTCTGATTATTATGGGTAACATGACCTAAGGTAACTCATTCACCTCTGGGAAATACCAGCACAGTCTTTTGCAGAACAATGAGGAAGACACATACATGACATGGGGCTGCTGTACCCATGTAGGGAAAGATGCTCACTACTGGGTAGTATAGTCCTAGTTTGATATTATTGGTGAAAAGGCTCCGATTTAATTTAGAAACATACAGTTTCCATAATTTATGAATACTTCCAAGATCTCTTCCTCCCCCTGCCCTGTGTTCCTTCTGCTTCTATAACTCTTGGTCTTATCTGTGTATTACAGGTTAATTAGATCCAAAAAACATAAATGTGCCAGTTCACATATTACATGACATATAGTCTGTGAGATACTTACAAACTGTCAGTGTCAAGGGCCAAGTGTGTACAAAGCAGAAGCATATGAGTATTGGAATATTAGTCCAGCTCATAGATGGAAAGAGCTCACTCATAAACACATTTTTTCTGTTCATTTTCACACAGCAATGACACTAATAATCACAATTCTATTGCCTATTAAGTTTTTTCTGTATAACTTTTTTTATTAAATGGGAAATAAAAGCCTAGCAATGAAACCATTAGAGCCAAAGACTGCTGATAACCTCTTGAATTGGAACAACTCTTTGGGGAAGGCAAGTTAAAAATTCTATGAAGAATGATACAGATGTTTCTACCTTTGATCAATAATTCTTCAGTTGGAAGGATGCCCTAATGAAATAATACATAAAAGGGAAAGTAATGAGTGCAAAATGCCCAATGTTGCATTGTCTGTAATAGCAAAGCTACTGAGGGAATGGAAAGTTAACCAATGGTTCAGTGAGTTTTGAAACATCCGAACAGTCATCTGTGATGAAGCCATTAAAAACAGAGTGTATGGCATCAATGTAGAAACCCGGGGCCATCTAAAATACAATGCTAAATGAAGGGAAGACACACAGAATGAATGGAAGCAAATAGCAGCAGCATAAAATTTAATCCAACTGTATCAGAAATTACATTAAATGAAAATGGTCTTAATACCATGAGTGAAAACAAGGTGTTACGCTAGATAGTAAAAGGTACACTAAATGCTGTTTATAAGAGACACACTTTAAATATAAATAAGACAGTTAAGAGAGAGAACAAGAAAAATATCATGCAAATGTTAGTGAAGAAAAGCTGAGAAGGGGTTGGGGAAGAGAACATGAGGGGTCAGGAAGGTCGGGTTGGGGGAGAGACAGAGAGAGAGCAAGGAAAGAGATACCTTGACAGAGGGAGCCGTTATCAGGTTAATGAGAAATCTGACACTACGGAAATTCCCAAGGATCCACGAAGATGACCCTAGCTAAGATTCCAAGCAATAGTAGAGAGGGTACCTTAACTGCCCTTCCCCTGCAATCAGATTGATGACTACCCTAATTGTCATCCTAGAACCTTCATCCAGTAACTGATAGAAGTAGATGCAGAAATCCACAGGTAAGCACTGGTCTGAACTCCTGGAGTCCAGTCAGAGAGAGGGAGGAGCCATAATACGAGCTAAGGGGTCAAGACCATGTTTGGGAAACCCACAGAAACAGCTGACCTGAGTATGTGGGAGTTCATGGACTCCAGACTGACATCTAGGGAACCTTCATAAAACCATACTAGGCCCTCTGAATGTGGGAGACCTTTGTGGGGCTTGGACAGTCTGTGGAGCCACTAGCAGTGGAACAAGTATTTATCTTTAGTGCATGAACTGGCATTTTGGAGCCCATTCCCTATGGAGGGATACCTTGCTCAGCCTAGATACAGGGAGGAGGGCCTTGGTCACGGCTCAAGTGATATGACAGACTTGTTGATTCTCCATGGGAGGTCTCCTCGGGATGCTCTCTAAGAAGTGGATGGGAGGTGGGGTGGGAGGAACAGGAGGATGAGAGGGAGAGGGAACTGAAATTAGTAAGTAAAATAAGAATGTTTTAAAAAGAAAAAAGAAAAGCTGAGTGACAATATTCATGTCAAACAAAATATATTTCTTCACAGATATTTAAGGAAGGAAATACAAGAAAAGAGGAGGACATTTCATGATAAATTCAACAAGAACAGATCAATTCTAAACAAAGAAAAGAAAATCTGCCATTAAATTATCCTTTAAGCCACAATGACTTTAGAATCCTTTCAGTATTTAAGGTTGAAGTGGAGCTGTTCTGGCATAAACTCCTTCATAAATGGAGAATATCAGGATGTTCCTAGAGCAGGCCCTGCACTTTGCCTGGGCAGCACAATAGAGCCAATCCTGTTGGCAGAGGTATGGGTGAGTCAAACACAAAGATGTGAGTATGCGATAGCTGTCCCCATTACCTATCTGTCATGTAACAGCATGGGTGGGAGAGAAATGCCCCCATCAATACCCGAGGCAAGTGGGAGAGTTGGCCATGAGGCCATAAGAGCAAGAGAGCTAGTCTGCCCCTCATCTGCTTCAGCACTTGGGAGAGTGGCCCCTGCACCACACCTGAACAACTCCAGATGTAGGATATCCAACCCTGAGGAGATGGCATGGGGCAACAACAGGATAACTAAGAAGAGTCCCAGCCAGGGTCCAGCATTGACAGTGTAGCAGAAACCAGAGGCCTCAAACCAGACCAATGACTCTTTGCAATGGACACTTACAAGTAAAGGTACATGGCTAAAAGGGTTTACTGCGTGACTCCCGGTGTCACACTATAGCTTCCATTTCCATGATAAGATTAATTTTTCCTTTCTTCTTTTGTTCTCTTAAATTTTATTTTATTTTGTGGGGGAGGTTGCAGGGGCAGAAGGTGGAGTTGAAGGGATGGGACAAGGAAATGAAAAGGACAGAAATGCATGATGTAAAAGAAACAAAGAATAAATAAAAAAACTTAAAAAAAAACAGTGTTGCTAACTTGTCATAACAAGACCAGAATTACCAGATAATTGAATAAGCATGTTGAAAGAAAAGATATAGGTTATGATTTATGGCATTATGTATCAAATAATTGTAAAATATGTTATAATAACCAGTGCAGTGGCATAATGAAAAGGTAATAATATCACCCAATGGTATTTGTCTTAGAAATGCAATGATTTGAAAGCCAAAGTGTTTTCCAGTGTTACCACACAGGGACAAGAATGAGGATGTCCTTACAAGAGGCAAAGACAGTGACAGGTGTAGATAGTTACATACAAGTAATCTGTTTAAGTACAGATAGATTGTAACTATTTTTTTTGTTTAAGTTGGTTGGTTTCTGAGACAGGGTTCCTCTGTGTAGCCTTGACTGTTCTGGAACTTGCTCTGTAGACCAAACTGGCCTCAAACTCATAGAGATCCACCTGCCTCTACCACCTGAGTGACTATAACTATTAATAAGTAAATATACTGAAGTTGTAGGATGGTAGGTAAATATAGAAAACTCATCTATATTCACACAGATTCACAGAAATTTTAAAATTAATTGAGTACAAATAATATCAAGAAAAAATTCAGTTGTATTGCACTACATCTAAGAAAGATATGCTAAGCCTTTAAACTGAGAACTCCGTGTGACTGACAAGAAAGTAAGATCTAAATAAATGGGAAGATACAAGAATTCAGGAAAATGACACCACAAGTGCATTTGTGGTCACTGACTAAATGGTTGTAAAATTTCTAGGGAAATACCAAGAACCTAGGGTTGTCAAGAAAATAATTCAGAACAAAACAGAAGAGTGTAGGACTTACACCACCAGAATTGGAAAGTTCCTACAAAGCAGCAGTAATTAGGAAAACTCAGTATGCATTGACAAGGAAAAGGGGATGACAAAGGACAGAAAGAACAGAGTGGGGAAAGGACCTGAAACATCATCACTGTCCTTCCAGAGAAGGAACCACTGAAGTCAGAGGCTTAAGGTGTATTTAGGCTGTATTATTATTTTCATAGGGAATGGGTTCGAAAATCCCGTTCGTGCACTAGGGATAAATAGTGGTTCCACTGCCAGAGGCTCCATAGACTGCCCAAGCCCCCAACTGACACCCACATTCAGGGGGGCCTGGTTTGGTCCAATACTGGTTCCCCAGCTGTCAGACTGGGATCCGTGAGCTCCCACTTGCTCAGGTCAGCTGTTTCTGTGGGTTTCCACAAAATGGTCTTGACCCCTTTGCTCATCACTCCTCCCTCTCTACAACTGATTCCAGGAGTTCAGTTCAGAAGTGTGTGTAGCTGTGAATCTCTGCTTCTGTTTCCATCAGCTACTAGGTGAAGGGTCTATGATGGCATGTAAGGTAGTCATCAATATCGTCATAGGGGAAAGGCATTTAAGGTAGCCTCTCCACTATTGCTTAGATTCTTAGTTGGGATAGTCCTTGTGGATTCCTGGAGATTTCCCTAGTGCCAGGTTTCTTATTAAGCCCTGTTTTTTTATATCCTGTATAGAAAGGGGGATTTGTATTTGAATTCACAAAATAACCAGAAATCAATCAAAAATAAATGCAACTGAAAAATAGCAGGGAAAGACTTGAATGGACAACTTCCGGAAGCCTGAAAATGACCTGCAGCCTTCAAGAGGAAGCCTGAGACTCAGATAAAGAAATGGTAACAAAAACCACTATGATGTGACATAGGCTAGTATAGTTGATACCATCCTGAAAAGAAACAAGTCAGAGGTCTCACACACCATGTTGGAGGATTTTGAAGTCACACTGATGCCATGATATATCACACATCAGCTAAACTTAGAAGTACTGAATACTTCAGCTGGTCAAGATTGGCACAGCTGATAGCATTCACACAGCATTCAACTAAAATCGCTAGAAGTGTGAATTGGTGTAAAGGTTTTTTAAAGCAGTGTAGCTACAGACATGAGTACTCTGTTCAGCTCTTGGAGTTTTGTACAAGAAAGATGAATGTCTATTCATCTTTATAAAGCTTCTTGAGCTGGGTGGCCCACATCTTTAATCCCAGCACTTGGGAGGCAGAGGCACTTGAATTTGAGGCCAGTCTGGTCTACAGAGCAAGTTCCAGGCCAGCCAGGGCTACACGGTGAGACTCTAACAAAAAAATAAAAAATAAAAAAACACAACAAAAGAAAAAAGAAAGGAAGAAAGGAAGGAAAATAGGAAGGAAGGAAGTATAAATGGAGTTCTTAATTGGTCTAAATAATAAAACCCTAGCCAGACCTAGTGTCTCTCTCTTCCTGCTGCCTGCTGAGATGTATAATCTCAGCTACCTCTCCAGCACCATGTTTGTCTGCATGCTGCCATGCCTCCTGCCATAACGATAATGGACTAAACCCCTAAACTGTAAACCAGCCCCAATTAAATA